CCTCCAATGACTTGCAGCCCTACATGCCCTGTTTACTGGAGGAAGATCCTTCAAGATGTTCCTATAACACTCCACGTTCCATGTCTCCATGGAGTTGGTTTTCTCCAGATGGGTCCTCCTTGGGGATCTCCTGGAAGTGTTGGTGATGGCATTGCTCTTCCAGGTCCTGGCAGTTTGGGTTGTGCCCCCATTACTACCTGGACCTTTCTTTGAAGTGCAGACAGGTGCGCTGGGGTCTGCACACAGGGGGCCAGCCTGAAGCCTACAGGAGTCAGGACTTCTGTGGGCTGCCCCAGCACCCAGGCTGCTGCCCTATTGGGGGGCTGCCCTGCTGTTGTGTTAGCAGTACAATGCAATTCTTTAATTAGACCAAGCAGGGTTTTCTCAGCTGGGGGTGGGAGGAGGTGTGTGGGTCTATTGGGGGAAACTAGGTCACCTGAAAATCAGCAGTCAAGAGGGAGCTGTCCTGGAGCCCCAGCTCTAGGGAACCCAGAAGGGTGAGGCGGGAGGGGCCAGTAGGGAGAACAAAGTCAGAGAAAATGTTCTCTGGCCCCTTTTATTGGCCCTTGGGAGGTACTGTCCTCACCTTTCTCCAGGGGGCTGGGCAACTGCCCTTAATTCCTTTGCCGGGAGTAAACAGCCAGAACCAGTGAGGGCACTGCAGAGTGCCTTCTGTCTGTGTGGGGCCTGGCACCGAGGTTCTGGGAGGGAGCACTGCTTTGGGAGTCAGGCCGAGGGTTCCAGTTACCACTGATTCTCTATCCTCTTGTCACCACTTCCTTTACCTCTGTTTTGTCATCTCATCAGTGGGCAGGGACCATACCTGTTCTGCCTTGCAGTGTCCCTAGTTCTTAGCACAGTCCTGGCATGTGAGACATGCCCAGTAAAGATTTTTCAGATGAAATAATGAGCTCATATGAATGCTTCCCTTCTAAGACTGTTGCCATTGAGGATCTTGGCAGGTGGGCTTCCTAGATGTCCATCGCTTAGAATTTTTGCCAATACTAAGTACCATAATTTAAAATTTATTTTTTTTACCCCCTTTTCCACTGAAGTAGACAGAATCTAAAAGGAGATTTTATATCACTACCATAAATAAACAGTAACTGTGAAAACAAATCCACAGAAAACAAAACAACGTTATTCCTTGTATCCTACACATTTGCTTACCCAAGGCATGAGTGTGAGGCTGGTTTTCTTTGTTTACTAGGGAGACTGACAAGGTTATAAAGATGTTAACAGACTATTAGCATTGAACTGACACTTTCTTCTGGAGAAAATCTGATAGATTAAAAAGGAAGTAAAAAGGGCACGACTTACTCAGAGTCCATGTTATATGAAGCCTGGGTGTCCTGTAATTTTGAAAAGTCCCTTGGAGTGGCTTCCTCTGCCACGCTTAGGGAAAACACGTGCTGGGATGGTAGCTGGGAAGTTCTTTGAAGAGGATTAAGTACTTTCATGAACAATGGCAGTAATTGGGATGTTTATTCTTATCTTCCGTGTTAGCTTGTTGTTTGGTAGCTCTCACTGAATAGGTAAACAGTAAATACTTGATAATGAAGAAATGAGTATCTATGTAGGAATCTCAGGACTAAAAGGAATCTTACAGAATGTTCAGGTCCATTTGACGTAGTGGAAATTTTATTCTCCAGTGAGCAATGGAGAATTGGTCATCTTCTGAGACAGCTACTGGACCACAAACACGTTCAATTGCTTGTTGCATGATCCTGGAGCTTGGCTGTCTGTTCTTCGGGTGTGCACTGATGCTTCCCTGGACCTTGGTCATGTTCAGCATAGGGCAGACTTACAGGCAGTCTTCTCTTTCCTGTGCTGATCGGACATGGTGATATTTGAAGACTGCTGTCTCATTCTGTCTAGGACAGGACTTGCAAACTCAGGTGATCATAGCGGCAAGCGATGCTGGTTAGTGAGGAAAGTCAGGTGGAGCAAGGGAGGTAGTGGGACTATGGTAAACTAGAGGGTAAGTGCTCCATATGAAGGGGCCAGTCCTACTCCACACCTGCTAATTGTTGCCATGGGTACCCAGCGTGGCCAAATACTGAGATGTTCTAAGAAAAGCTGAAAATCCTATTTGGATATAAAATCTTCAAGTTTTAAATGTTACCAATGGATTCCAATATTGCAAAATATTCTTTGGACCAAAATGTGATGTGGCTCACAGGGGGTGCTTTGGTGAAGTCTGACCCACAGCCATGAGTTGCTCACTGCGGCCCCTGAGACTTTTTTTCTCTTTGGGTCAGAGGATTCATCTTCAAGTCATGTTATGTGTGTTGTTCTCCAGCATTCCTTCGTGGAGGGCAGTCCCTCTGCAGGCCTTTGATGTAGGCCAAGCTCCTTCTCAGCTGTTGTCTGCTGCTCTCACCTGGTGAATTCCTGCTCACCCTTGAGAATCAGGAAAACCTATTCTGGAAAACCTTTTCTGATAACCCCAAGCAGACTGACTTTTGTATTTTTTTCAGCAGTGTGATGTTGGGTAAATTGCTTAAACTTTCTGGGCTCAAGTTTCCTTACCTGTAAAATGGGGATGATAACAATATCTACCTCACTATGTTGTCAGGAGGATTAAATGAATATATAGACACATCCACAGACTGACAAGGATTTCCTAGAAGGCAGTGCTGGTCCCTGATTCTTTTCTGAATCAAGTACCCATGAAATGTTTGATCCTTGAATTGGGGGAAAAGGAAATATGTCCTCTGTTGACTTCCAGTGAGTTCTCACCATCATGAAGATACAATGTGGCTATGAATTCTACTTTTCTGCATTCCTTATTTTTAAAGAGGCAACCAAAAGTCTACCTAAAAAAAAACACAAAACAAAACAGTGACAACAGCAAATGCTGGCAGAGAAAGTAGATCACTTACACATTGCTGGTGGAAATGAAAAATGTTCCAGTCACTCTGGAAAATTGTTTGACAGTTTTGTATAAAACTAAACATGTAATTACTATACAACACAGCGATTGTACTCTTGGGCATTTACTCCAGAGAAATGCGAACTTCTGTTCATACAAAAACCTACACATGAATGTAATAGCCCCAAACTGGAAGCAACCCAGACATTCTTCAAGGAGTGACTGGTTCAACAAACTGGAGCATACCTATACCATGGAAAACTAGTCAGCAATAAAAAAGAGTGAGCTATTGATATCCAACCACTTGGATGAAGTCCAGGGCTATTCGGAGTCCCTCTGTGATAATGTTACACAGATGTAGAACCTGGGCCAACTTTCTCCATCATCCAACAGCCCACAATTATCCTCATGCCTTGCCTGTGGGGTCCCAGATGTGCTGCATTTACATGGTCCTGCTCTTCTTTCTCTGGGCTTGTTTCTCTTTTCCTACTAGGCATATAATTTTTGGCCTGTTCTTTTTATTCCTTGAATAGCCTGGGAGGAGGAGACAGCATTTTAGGTGTAGGAAGTCCAGGGCTATTCGGAGTCCCTCTGTGATAATGTTACACAGATGTAGAACCTGGGCCAACTTTCTCTATCATCCAACAGCCCACAATTATCCTCCTGCCTTGCTTGTGGGGTCCCAGATGTGCTTCATTTACATGGTCCTGCTCTTCTTTCTCTGGGCTTGTTTCTCTTTTCCTACTAGGCATATAATTTTTGGCCTGTTCTTTTTATTCCTTGAATAGCCTGGGAGGAGGAGACAGCATTTTAGGTGTAGGAAACCAGGCTTTGGAATGTTCCAGTTGTTCCAAATCTTTTTCTCTGCATCTGCGAGGTTTTAGGGTCTGTGCTGATTTGAAAGCAGAGACCAGTTGGTTTCAGATTTTGAAAATCTGTCCAAGAATTAGATAGAGTAAGAGATGTGACTTTTTAAGGTTTCCAAAGAGGAAAACTTCAACTAAGATTTTCTACTCAGTTTCGGCCATTATCAACCTCAATACTCTTAAAAGTTAAGGACCCCAAACAACTTTTGTTTATGTGGATTATTTCTTGATCAATGTTTATCATTATAAATAAATGCTGAGAGGTTAAAAATGGCATTAATCCCTTTAAAAATAATAGTAAACCCCTTATATATTGTAACAACGTAACAATTATAACAGTATCACAATAAACCCCTTATATGTTATAACAACAACGTAACAATTATAACAGTATTACACTAAACCCCTTTTATATTTATTATACCAATAGCACAATTAACTCTTTATATGCTGTAATAAAATAGCAATTATAACAATATAACATCTTATAACAATATCACAATAATCCCTTATATGTTAGAACAATATAACAGTTGTCACAACATAACTCCTTATATGTTCCAGCAATATCACAATAAATTCCACATATGCTATAACAATACAATATAACAATTGTAACAATATAATTGTTATATGTCATAACAATATCACAATAACCCCTTTATGTATTATCATAATATGACACCCTTGTGTGTTATAACAATAGAATCACAGAACAGGGAAAATTTTATGCCCCATGGAGCTGTTGGCTAAGGCTACAGTGGCAATCATCTGGAAATACACAAGGGTATCACATCCACAGGCTGTGCACCTTAAACTTACACAATATTATAGGTTAATTATATCTATTTTATTTTATTATTATTTTAAAAATTTATTTATGCATACAAGAACTGGGGTACAAGCCAGAGGTGTGGGGGGTGAGAGGATTCACCAGAGACAGAGTGGGGAGCAGAACAGGCAGATTGCTTGAAATACACTGCTGAGGGGAGCAGCTGGTGAGGCCGGAGAGGTCTGCTGTGGCTTGTGGGTATCTCCCTGGCCGGAGATCCAACTAGCACTGCAGAAGCTGCGAATTGCTTCATAGTGCGGTGCTTAACCCCTTGCGCCACCAGGGAGGCCCAATTATATCTATTTTAAAAAAGAAGAATAAATATGAAAATAGAGAGGGAAAGCATTTTGAATCTGGGCCCCGATGACCTAACCAGACCTGAGCTTTGATGCTGACAGGCCTGTCCATCTGTGTCTCTGCTCCACAGGCCCCAGGATGAGGCCCCATGCCCACAGGAGCCCCCAAGCGCCCCTGGCCCCAGGCGCCCCGTGCTAGCCCCCAAGGCGTGGGGAGGCGCGGTGGTGATGGCCAGTCACGTGGACCTGCTGACCGAGCTGCAGCTGCTGGAGAAGGTACCCACGCTGGAGCGGCTGCGAGCTGCCCAGAAGCGCCGGGCCCAGCAACTGAAGAAGTGGGCCCAGTACGAGCAGGACCTGCAGCACCGCAAGCGCAAACACGAGCGGAAGCGGAGCACCAGCGGCCGGCGCAAGAAGGTGTCCTTTGAGGCCAGCGTGGCCCTCCTGGAGGCCTCGCTGAGGAATGACGCTGAGGAAGGTAGGCCGCGCTGTTCCTTTGCTGCCAGCTGCCCTGGCCGTGCCCCTCCTGTGCGGGGTCTGGCTTCCAGTGCTGCGCTGTGGAGTGTGAGCAGGGTGGGGCTGGCACTCGCACAAGTGCCAGCCTTGGGCCTCCAGTTGGGCCTCCCCAAACATCTCAGAAGTGGATGTTCCTAGGGAATGCTCTGCATGTGCCGTAGGCTTTTTTGGGGGAAACAAAAATGCCAGCTTTTGGCTAATGAACACTATGACAATGTTCCTTCCCTGTCAGAAATATTTACTGACAACCTCCTTTCATTACTACACCGGTTATGGTGGCCCAAGTTGGATCTGGGTTCTCCTGGCCAAGAGTTCAGTACTCATAGGATCCTGTATTTCCTAAGCCCCTTCTCTGTGCCAGGGCACCCCTTTGGGGCTGTCTGTATCTCTTCATTTTATTGAGCCTTCACTGCAGGCATAGATGGTTTAGAGGGGGCTACCTCCATGAGCTGGAAAACCAGCTTTGTCAGACACTCCTGCCGTGGCTTATATAAACATTCAACTAGATAAAACTGGAAAGTTCTTAGACATGGTCCCTCAGACTGTGCAAATAGTACAATAGGCTTTATTTTTATATTTTTACTATGTTTTATTTGATTAATTTCTATATTGAAGTTAATATATATAGGGTAGAAACATAGATGCATATATGCAAAGTTGTCTGGGACATTGTCACTCTGTGAAACAAATGAAAAAATATAAACACATATACACACTCATAATTTGTTTCCAGATTTGATGGATATCCCATATTTGTACTTTTATTGAATTATATTATTACTATGTGTCCCATCATCCAGCTATCACAATATCCAAGAGGCAGGTATAATACTATCCCTTTTACAGATGGAGAGCAGAGTCAAGGTCAGAAGCCTCAGGCCTTGTAGGTTTGCTTTGGGATAAAAGAATAAATGGAGGAACTATGATGGGGCGGGAGGCTTTTCTCTGATCATGCTCTTAGGGGTCACACCTGCTCATCCTGCAGCCGAGCTATGATGGGTCCTGTGTTCCCCTCAGCAACCTCTGGTCCCTTCTGTATGTGAGTCCTCTCTGGCTGCCTTGATGGGCCTAGCAGTGTTTCCTGGTGCCTGTGGCTTTTTTGTCTCTGCACACCCTCCAGACACTTGCTGCTAATGCAGCCTGTGAAAGAAATGAGGGTTAGTAACTCTTACAGTTATTGGGTTTTATGTATGTTGCTCCTCAGATTCTAGAAGGCTCCATCTCTGGCCTGGTTACAGTGCTCTGGGAAATGAGCTCTGGAAATGAGAAGCATCCCAGAACCACTCAGCTGGAAACAGCTCAGCCCAGAACCCGGGGTGAGCAGCCCCCGTGAGAGAGGCATGAGTCTCAGGCTTGGGGACATGGCCCTGCCAGGCTCCTGCCCACGTGTGATCTGCAGGGTGACGTGGCGGGCCCACCCCACTCGGTGGGCGGCTCATCATCATGTCTAATTTTTGCGGTGGGCGTTGGTTCATCAGCTCTTCTTTCACCACCTTTTACTCTCCTTCCCTGACAAAGCCCCAATTTCCCTCCCAGAAGGGGCTTTTCAGGGGCTTTGTGAGCCCCTGTGCACATTGGTGCCCCCCAGCCCCTGCCGGGACCCCACTCTGCCAACTCTCTGAGTCTGGTCAGGACAAGCAGTGGACTGGAGCCCTCAGCCCTGCCATTGACCTTGAGTGGCTGGTTTTACCTCTCAGGGTCCAGGTTCTTAACCTGCGCATGGGGTTTTGAACTTGCCTTGTGGAAGGCGTGGCAAGATTTAGGCAAATTTCTGGATGTGACAGCTCTTTGAAAAGTTACTCTGAACCCTGCACTAGCTCGCATCATTTTAACAAACTTTTCCTGTGTTTTTTTTTAGCAAACTTTAATGTTTTTAATAACTCAGTTATACAAAAGCATATTCATGTAAAAATCAAATAATAAAAGTGTTCAGAATAAAATTCCCTCCCTCCCTCCCTCCCATGATGGTTAGTTCGATGTGTTTCCTTCAAGGCATTCTTCTCACTTAACTAGGTATTTGTGAACTTGGAAAAATATGGAGTGAGTTGTGTTTTTGGTTTAGTGTTGTCAGCAATGACTTATTAGATGTGCTATCCTGCAATTTTCTTCTTTTTCACCCAGTAATATATTTGGGGAGGCACTTCCATGCTAGTTCATGTACAGTGGAAATAGTAGATCTGCATGGTCCCCCTTAACAGCTGTGCAGTATCCAATACTGTGGATTCACCAAAGATTTTGAACTAGTTCCTATCAATGGGCATGGAAGGTTTTTAATTAGTTTTGCTTTTGCCACTGTGAATATTTGTTGATCTAGGACAGGTGTGGGAAAATGGAAGAGATGGAGTCAAGTGTATGTGTATTATATTTGAATGAGAAAAGTGCTAGACCCCATGGGCTGATCCCTTGGCTCTGGGGACAGCCAAGTTAGGGTGAATGCCAGGGGTACTGTGGCCTGTACCAGGCCATGAGGGTGGGGTGAGAAATGCCTCTGGGGGCCATAGGTGGCTGGGTTGGAGTAAGGGGTGGTGAAGCTGCCACCAGTCAGCAAGCAATCTGGGTGGGGTGAGGCTATGCTCAGCTTTCTGGCAGGACAACAGTGCCTGCTGCTCCCAGCTGGCTGGCATGGCTTCTGCGTGCTGGCGGAGCTGGTGTTGGGGTGGCTGCTGGGGCGTTAGCTCACAGCGGGATGGAAATGTGGGATGGCAGCTCCCCCGCTCCCCTAAGCTCACAGCAGCGGCTGAGTCAACCTCCTCCACCTGCCAGGGCAATGTGAGTCGTTTCAGAGAAAGACTCACTCAGTATCCTTCCCTGGTTCTGCACTGCCTTTAGACTAACACCTGGACACTAGGACCCTTGTTGGCTCTGGATCTGCCTGAGGTGCCTGCCTGCCTGGCACCTCACCCCCACATCCTCACCCCCACACTCCAGTCCTCCAGCTCCCCTCGCTTCTTGTGTTCTCTTGTCTCCCCACTTTTGCAATTGCAGTTCCCTCTGTCAGGGACACTCTTCCCCGGACTAATATCTATCACCCTGCAGGTCTGGGTCCTGTGCTCCCTCGTCTGTGAGTCTTTACTATACCCCACTCCCAGCACTAGTTAGAGCAGTAAATCAGTATACAGCTGAGAGGCAATGTAGGGTCATGGCGAGGAGCCTGGACTTGGAACTATTTCTCCAAGATTCCAGTCCCTGCTTTGCTTTATGCTAGCTGAGCAACTGCAGAAAAGCTACTTAACTTTTCAGCACCTCAGTTTCCCCATCTGTTAAAATGAGGATGATGTAACACATCGCCCTCAGAAAGTTGTGCTGGAGTTAAATCAAGTTGACAAATGTTGAAGTGGTTTAGTAATAATTATATAAGTGATATAAATTGTTATTCTGCATTATCTATTATTTTATACTTATATAATCTATTATTATATAGATTCTGATTATCATCATCATTATTACTTACTGGTATAAAGTGCTTAGTATATACCAGGGAGCAGGATTTATAGCTGTTATCTCAGTGAATCCTCATAGTAGCCCTATGAGGTCGATAGATCAAATTCTGTTTTAAAATAGCTTTATTAAGGTTGAATTTACATATCATAAACCCACCTATTTTAAGGGTGCAATTCAGTGTTTTTCAATACATTTACAGAGTTGTGCATCCATCACCGCAACCCAGCTTTAGAACATTCCATCACTTCAAAATGAAATGTCATGTCCGTGTGTAATCATTCTGGCTGCCATCCCATACTCAACCCCAGGCTGCCACTAATCTATTTTCTGCCTCTATATAGTTGCCCTTTCTGGACATTTTGTTTACACAAACTCATGTAATTAATAGGTGATCTTTGTGGCTGATTTCATTAATTTAGGATCACCTGTTCAAGATGCATACTGGTTATGGTATATCCCAGGACTTCTTTCTTTTTTTTGTCATATAGTATTCCATTATATGGATATACCACCTTTTTTTAATCCATTCACTGGTAGATGAACATTTGGATTGTTTCCATCTTGGGTTTTGACGAATCATGGTGCTAAGAAGACTTGTGTGCAAGTCTTAGAGTGGATATATGTTTTCATTTCTCTTGGGCAATTAGCTAAGAAAGGAACTGCTGGGTCATATGGCAAATTTATGTTGAACTTTTAAGGAAACTGCTAGATTGTTTTCCAAAATGGTTGTACCATTTTATATTTGCAAACCTCATTTTATAGATGAAGACCTTTGCTTTGCCATTTGCTAAGATCTCACAGATTGTGTCAGACCCAGGACTTGCACTCAGATTGGTTTTCTCTGAAACCCATGCTTTTCACTACACTGGACCCTGACCCTCCTGCTTTTGTTTTCTCCTAGAAAACAAAAGAATCCTTCACTTGTGGTTCTGATCTATGTCTCTTTGGGCCCTAAGAATCCCAGGGTTTCTGCTCACCTCTGGGGCTCTTTGTTTGTGCCCCCACCTCCCTGCGGGACCCTTCATCCCTAGCTGTAACTTCTTTCCAGTGATAACTTCTTTTAAAACCACTAGTTCTCAGAACGTGTAGAGTCTTCTTTGTGGAAAATGTTCACATTAAAAAAAAAATGAATGATTCTTCTATAATCTAAATTTAACTCTTCAATTTATTCTCATGGTAAAGGTTTTTAAACTTTTTTTAAGCAGTGGAAACTTTTCTTAAGTGAAATATGCAGAAACCCAATATGTAAAACAGATGAAAGAGCTATTCTGGCTGAGGTGGGCTGGGGACCACTTGTCTCCCCACCCCCACACACACATACACAAACCTTTCCCTGAGCCCCAGGTGCATTGGCGGACACCTGGGCTCTTCGAGGCATGCTCAAACCATTGACTCATCCAAAGGAAACCAACTCTGACTTTGGCTGATTTTGAAAAGGGAAGTTTCTTTTTTCCTTATAATAAAACTAAGGCATTCTTGCTGTAGAAATTTTTTAAAGTACAGAGAAAAGAAACATTTTGG